ACCACCACGCCTGATGGCCAGCATCCATTCGAAGTCGACACGACTTAAGCGCTATCTGCACCACCAGCGCGAACCCGCCCACCATCACGTGCATCGTTGACGTGGGCCTCCCACTGCTTCGCTGGGGTGAGCAACTTCGCTCGTCGATGTCGACACGCGAGCTGACTGAAGCCACCGTCGATCGCAAGATCATGAGAGAAGCAAGGTTACGAAGAATGGAAGCGAGTGTATATAATGTATATTTGTACAGGCCGTCGAGCGAACTGGTATCGAGGACAGGGACCGAGGCTGGAATGATGGTTGGGCGACATTGGGCTGCCGAGTCAGCAGATAGACGCATGGGGAAGAGGGGAAGGAGACAACTGGATGGAGCTTTTGGTTTCGTGTGAAGAATGCATGTTTGTTTCCTTGCAGGTTGGATGCCCGAGCCAGCTGGAGTTACAGGCACAAGCTGGAGGTTAAGCAGTGGGGCGGCTAAGTGGCGGTGGCAAGAGGAGGCGAAGGTTGTCCTTTCGCTTCGGTGGGAGGCCATCCCTTCGAGGGGTGTCTATGGTGTAGCAATAGGGGGAGGATGCAGGCTAGGATATAGGGGGTACGGGCATTGGACTCTGCATTGTTTGTATGTTCTGTAGTACTCATGTGATTGCCTCAGAATCATGTGGGAGCAAGTGGCAGGCCATAACAGACCCTGGAGCTATGGATGTGTGATGTAGGTAGAGTTAGTTAGTAGATGTGAGTAAGCTGTGCGAGCTTATCAGAAGGTCGTAGGGAATACGACGCATCAGAAGGTCTAGAACCCGCAGAGAGAGACTACACCAAGCAAGCACGAGGGAGCAGTAACAGAGACAGGAGCAAGCATGGCCAGAAGGCAAGGGAGGTGGGGTGAGTGAGAAGGTAAGAATCAGCAGAGAATGGGAGGAGAGAAGCAGGAAGTACAAGGGGAAAGGCATCAGGAGAGGGAGAGGTAAGGGAATTTCCGACAGGCCCTTACACCAACAGGGGCAAGTCGGGTGTTGGTGGAAAAATGAGAGGGGTTGGTGTGAAAGTGTCGGCCAGATCTGGGGAGACGGATTGGGCAACAGCACACCGACGCTTGGGGCATGCCGGAGCTCGACCCCGACGTGCATGCCGACCCCGCTTATTTTAAAGCTCTTGGAGCGGCTCGAGAGAGGAGCTGTCGAAGTCAGCAGGAGGAGAGCAGCCGGTCGAAGGGTCGAAGCAGCTGGTCGACGACGAGAACGTCGACGAGGAAGGGGAGCAGTCGGCGGGTGAGGAGTTTACCGACAGCGACGTGATGGAAGTGCCGATCACGAAGCTTGAGCTGCGACGCACAGGTCGTGCTCGACGGCCGCCGGAGCGGCTGAGCTTCCACGCCTGCCTACCACCAGCTGCCTTCACCACGGTGTATGACGAGGTCGACGACGACCTGTTGTACGACGACGCCGAGGAAGATGAAGACCTGCCGGAGCTCGACCCCGACGTGCATGCCGACCCCGAACACCGCTAGGACATCGCCACGATGACGGTGAAGAAGGCGCTGTCGAGCTGGAAGGGCAAGGCGGTGAAGGCCGCCATGGAAGAAGAGATCCGCAGCCTCATCGACATGGGCACTTGGGAGCTGGTCGAACGCCCACGCGGGGTGAACATCATGAAGAACCGGTGGACCCCGCGCTGCATGAAGATTGGGACGAGCGCTCCTCGGCTGGCTACTATTTGATGTCGCAGAGTTTGGAGCTGAACCAGCGTCACCACGTTATGCACCTGCTGCCGGAGGTTGAGTGCGGTCCGAACGCATGGACCGTGTTGAAGGAGCTGCACGCCCCGACTTCCGTTGTTGCAACGTTGATGCTGGAGAGGGAGCTGTCCGCGGTGCGCCTGAGCGAGGGAGAGCCGGTGCAACCTGTCCTGGACAAGATGCGCGACCTCTACGCGAAGTTGGCGACCGCGGGAATCAACACCCGGAGCAGACCAAGTTCTTGAAGATGCTCTCGCTGCTGCCGGAATCGTGGCTTCAAGTCACGAGCGGTTTGAGCCTGCCGCAGAACCAGAGCTCGTGGACACTCGAGTGGGTGCGGACAAAGTTTCTGGAGGAGGACTTCCGTCGCCGCCAACTAAGGGGTGGAGACGACGGCAGCAGCGGCTATGGGATGCAAGGGAGCCGACGTGGCAGAGGACGTGGCTTCGGTGGTGCTGGACGTGGTGCAAAGAAGGACGACGACTCCAACGACCAACAAGGAGGTACCGGTTGGGGTCGCGGTGCGAAATCTGGACGTGGGGGCAAGTCGGGTGGTGGTGGCAAAATGAAAGGGAGTTGCTGGTATTGTGAGAAGGAGGGGCACCCCTGGTTTTTGTGCTATAAGAAACCCGATGGATGGACCCCCCAGAATCGTCACCAGGATGGCGACGCGCGGAGGAACCAGAAAAACGGCACGAGCATGGTCGCCGATTCGTCCGACAACAACCCGAAGAGCAACGGCGGTGCGGAGAAGAAGAAGGAGCACACCGCGGGCCAGTTCTTCCATATTGGAGAGCAGGGGGAGCAAGGAGATGCCTCTGCCAAGGTTGGAGCAGAGCTGCACCCCTTCCTGGGGTATATGACATTTCAGACGGTAGAGTTGATTCAAATGGTGGTATTCATTTCACCATTCCTAAAATTCAAATCAAAGTCACCAAATTTATTGGGGTCATAAAAAGTGGTTCCACTTTTACGGTGAGGTTGATGCTGAATCGTAAAAAAAAAAATGTTGACGGTTTCTCTTCAGAATACCATGCTGCTTGGGGACGGCAGTATGCTGTTTTAAGATCCCGTGGATGCCAAACAAAAGAACGCTTTCCATTTGATAGAAAGTTTTTTATAAAAAATTGTAAGCTTGTGCCTAATGCGTTTCTTGATACTATTTTTGAATTAAATAGTATTGAAGAGTCGGCACCCGCCATCCGCATCTCGGCAAAGAGCCGCCAAGCACAGTTGCAATAGCCCATCGTTGACTCCTGCGGGCCCATCTTGAGATGGGTCAGTTGCTCCTCCAGCTGACCAATGTACAGATCATCCATTGCCTGGTACGTCGACAGGATGAACCACCACGCCTGATGGCCAGCATCCATTCGAAGTCGACACGACTTAAGCGCTATCTGCACCACCAGCGCGAACCCGCCCACCATCACGTGCATCGTTGACGTGGGCCTCCCACTGCTTCGCTGGGGTGAGCAACTTCGCTCGTCGATGTCGACACGCGAGCTGACTGAAGCCACCGTCGATCGCAAGATCATGAGAGAAGCAAGGTTACGAAGAATGGAAGCGAGTGTATATAATGTATATTTGTACAGGCCGTCGAGCGAACTGGTATCGAGGACAGGGACCGAGGCTGGAATGATGGTTGGGCGACATTGGGCTGCCGAGTCAGCAGATAGACGCATGGGGAAGAGGGGAAGGAGACAACTGGATGGAGCTTTTGGTTTCGTGTGAAGAATGCATGTTTGTTTCCTTGCAGGTTGGATGCCCGAGCCAGCTGGAGTTACAGGCACAAGCTGGAGGTTAAGCAGTGGGGGCGGCTAAGTGGCGGTGGCAAGAGGAGGCGAAGGTTGTCCTTTCGCTTCGGTGGGAGGCCATCCCTTCGAGGGGTGTCTATGGTGTAGCAATAGGGGGAGGATGCAGGCTAGGATATAGGGGGTACGGGCATTGGACTCTGCATTGTTTGTATGTTCTGTAGTACTCATGTGATTGCCTCAGAATCATGTGGGAGCAAGTGGCAGGCCATAACAGACCCTGGAGCTATGGATGTGTGATGTAGGTAGAGTTAGTTAGTAGATGTGAGTAAGCTGTGCGAGCTTATCAGAAGGTCGTAGGGAATACGACGCATCAGAAGGTCTAGAACCCGCAGAGAGAGACTACACCAAGCAAGCACGAGGGAGCAGTAACAGAGACAGGAGCAAGCATGGCCAGAAGGCAAGGGAGGTGGGGTGAGTGAGAAGGTAAGAATCAGCAGAGAATGGGAGGAGAGAAGCAGGAAGTACAAGGGGAAAGGCATCAGGAGAGGGAGAGGTAAGGGAATTTCCGACAGGCCCTTACACCAACAGGGGCAAGTCGGGTGTTGGTGGAAAAATGAGAGGGGTTGGTGTGAAAGTGTCGGCCAGATCTGGGGAGACGGATTGGGCAACAGCACACCGACGCTTGGGGCATGCCGGAGCTCGACCCCGACGTGCATGCCGACCCCGCTTATTTTAAAGCTCTTGGAGCGGCTCGAGAGAGGAGCTGTCGAAGTCAGCAGGAGGAGAGCAGCCGGTCGAAGGGTCGAAGCAGCTGGTCGACGACGAGAACGTCGACGAGGAAGGGGAGCAGTCGGCGGGTGAGGAGTTTACCGACAGCGACGTGATGGAAGTGCCGATCACGAAGCTTGAGCTGCGACGCACAGGTCGTGCTCGACGGCCGCCGGAGCGGCTGAGCTTCCACGCCTGCCTACCACCAGCTGCCTTCACCACGGTGTATGACGAGGTCGACGACGACCTGTTGTACGACGACGCCGAGGAAGATGAAGACCTGCCGGAGCTCGACCCCGACGTGCATGCCGACCCCGAACACCGCTAGGACATCGCCACGATGACGGTGAAGAAGGCGCTGTCGAGCTGGAAGGGCAAGGCGGTGAAGGCCGCCATGGAAGAAGAGATCCGCAGCCTCATCGACATGGGCACTTGGGAGCTGGTCGAACGCCCACGCGGGGTGAACATCATGAAGAACCGGTGGGTGCTGACGACCAAGTACCGCATCGACGACACTGTCGAGCGCGAGAAGGCGAGGCTGGTTGTGAAGAGCTTCACGCAGGTATACGGCGCTGACTACGACGAGACGTATTCGCCGGTGAGCAGCTACGTCATGCTAAGGATCTTCTTCAGCTTCGTCGCCGTCCTCGACCTCAACCTGATGCAGGTCGACATGAAAAACGGTTTCCTACAAAGTAAGCTCGACCGGGTGCTCTACATGTATCAGCCGGACTACTTCGACGATGGGACCGCTCTACGGGCTGAAGCAGTCGCCGCTGCTGTTGTACAGGGCTCTCAACGGTGTGCTGCTGGGCGCTAGCTGGAAGAAGAGCCAGATCGACGAGGCGTTTTACTTCAAGGCCGGCGACGACCGAGTGACCTGCTGGGTGCTGGTCTTTGTCGACGACCTGCTCGCTGCCAGCAGCAGCACCGCGATACTGAAGGAGCTGAAGGAGCTGGTGGAGGCGGCCTTCGAGCTGCGTGAGATCTCGCCAGTGGTGAAGTACCTTGGGATGGAGATCGTGCGCCACAGGCCGGCCAGGAAGCTGTGGCTGCACCAGCAGGGCTACGCCGACAAGCTGCGCAGGCGCTAGCAGGGGGGTCAAGTCCCGAGGACGCCGGTCTCGGTCGATGCTTACGCTCAGCTGACGTTCAACGACGAGGAGGACCAGGAGCGCGAGGAGGAGGAGTACCGGCAGAAGGTCGGCTCGCTGCAGTTCGCAGCGACGACGACGAGGCCGGACATCGCGTTTGCCTGCAGCAAGCTGGGGAGCGGCCTCACGGTGAGGAGCGATCAGCATTGGCGCAAGGTCGACCGCTGCCTTGCCTACCTCGCTGACACGCGCGACACCGCCCTGGAGTTTGGCGGTGGACCAGAGTCGCTGGAGCTGATCGGCTACGTGGATGCCGACGACGCGGGCAACAAGCAGAACCGGACGAGCACGGGAGGCTACATGTTCGACTACGGAGGGGCACATGGTGGTCGACCAGGTCGACCGAGTAACCTACTCGACGAGTTCCGCGGAGGCTCGCGAACGTCGTCGAGGTCGTGATGGCGAAGGCGACTGCGGGCTGGTATTCCGAAGTCGATGTGGCTCGTCAGGCGCAGACAACAGCCGACAGATGCCCAATGAAGCAAGTCGGGCCAATCGTCTGCGCGCACCTGCGAGCGTGTGCACTGCTGTGTTCTACGGGGCAACGCTGGACAGCCGCTCTGCTGCAGCGTTGGCACACCGTCGACCTTTTGCGTTGGCAGGTCGCTCTTCTGCAGTGCTAGCGCGGCTCCTCTACGCAACGCTGGCAGGCGGTCGACCGAGCTGTGCTGGCGGTCGACCAGGCTAGCTGCAGAGTTGCTAGGTGCCTGATGTAGACAGTGTTGTCATTGCTTGTTCTACAATTCTGTAATGCCAATTTTGCCAGTGAAACTCTTGCCAATCTCTCCCGTAAATGTGCAAGTGCTAAGGAATGCAAGCAAAGCTACGATCACTCTTAGTAGTTCGTGCCTACCCTCCGTAGTCTAGCTCACTACCGTTGTAGAGTGACTCTTCCCATTTGTGACTCGTCCTAAGGATAGGCACAAAGTCGGTAGTCAGAATGGCACAGAGCCTCTTCGAGATAAGGACAAACAGCCACGTGGAACACTGTGCAGTGTTGACCGAAATCTGTACAGTGTTGACAGCTGGAGAAACGGACAAGGGTTTGTATAGTCAACACTGCGTGTTGAGCAAAAAAGACAACGAAATCAAAGTCAAAGATCGCGCTGCTCCATCACAACCACCTCCTCCGGAACATCTCATGACTGTTCCCTTTCCCTTCTCAAAAGAAAATCTCCAAACCATTCTATACCACTCTATGCTGCCCATAAAGTTTACCCAGGTGAAAAATACTCATCTTGCGCTCGTGGTAGCACGGCGAGAGGAAAGTCAGTAAGAATTTGCCGGTGATTACTGTCCAGTCAATGGGCGGTATGGGCGGTTGCTCGGTATCTCGAGCCGCTGATGAGTACTTGCTGAGGTTGATGATTCCAAACCATAAGTTTTGGTCACAATGGAGGTCGCATGGGGGTCGCACGTCATTTTTGGGCTTCCGAAGCTACTTACTACCTTATTAAGTGATGGTTTCCCCCTCAACTCACCTCCTCCCGAACAGCACCATGGTATCTAGAGCTATTACGGTCTAAAGACCTAGTTTTTCATTCCTAATGGCGCCCGATGCCCGCCCCGTGCTGCTCGCACCGCCCTCGAACCTGTCCCGTCCCGCAGCCATGATGCGCAGTCACGTACAGCCACGCACAAATGCACACAGCCACACACAGCCGCACGCAGCAGCGTACAGCCGCGCGCAGCCGCGCACGGCCGCGTTCAGCAGGGTAACAGTCATGCGCAGCCGTGCAAAGTCGCGCGCAGTGCGTACGCTGCATGCCAGCGCGCGACCGGCAGCAGGATTGCAAGCGCCTACGCCAGCCTACTTCCTGCCCCTCCCTTATCTTCCTCCTCATTGCTGCTCGTGCATCTGCTGTGCGTGCCACGTTGGGGGGGGGGGGGGAGAGAGGGTGTGGGGGTGGCGGGTATGTGAAGCAGTCGCCCCTCCTCCTTTTCCTCCGCTGCACTTCTTCTCCTCTTCTCTCTTTCGATGCACCTCTCTTCTTCTCCTCCACCTCCCTTCTCGTGACCACCGTACAACTTTTCGCCACTCCGTCGTTCCTGCACCCGCTGTGGGGGTTAAACCGCAGGCGGGCTCGTGCCGTGGTACTTAACCACAGTGGTCCCAGTTGCGGTCAGTGACTACAGCACTTTGGGTGAACGCCATTCACTGACTACGTTTGCATGCAGTTTTGGGGGGATGTTAAGAATTATAACTGCATACAACGTAAAAGTGTGGTATCATGTCAATAATCTATCTCTAGGTGGTGTACCCCTCTTCCCACCTTGTCATTCCTATAATAGTACTGGTTTCTATATTGCAACCCCTCTTTCTCTCACCCTACTCTTGACACTCTTCCTCCTAGCCTACGCTTCTCCTTAACCTAGGCTACTTCTGTTCTCAACACATACATCGTTGTTTATATAGGAAATACAAAGGGATGCGAAACGACCTAGGCTAGCCATGTATTCAAACATGTTCCCACATTTTTTCACTCCAAATGTTTCTGCATCGGTCTCGATCTGACGGTTGCTGATGTCGCTTCGACTCTTCTGACTCCTCGGCTTCGTACTCCGTAGAGTCGGCCCCTGCAGCGTACAGGAGTGCCTCCTCATAAAAGTCCATATCTCAACACCTCCCTTCATTCCTGTATGTGTCTAAGACTGACTCGCTTAACCACTTCGGTAAGGTTGGAGCAGTACTGCTGTGGTGGCAGTCGCTTGGTAAGGAAGTCAGCTGCCATTTCGGTGTTAGGGCAGTACGTGAGGTCAACCTTGCCCTGGTCTATTTCGTCCTTGACGAAAAAATACCATAACGTGATGTGCTTCGTTCGGTTGACAAAACCTTGCTTGTTCGCGATTTCGCTCACCTTGCTTGTGGAAGTGGAGATGAAAGGTGAGCGAAGTTGGGAATTTCGTCTCCTGCAGCAGCTCTTGCAAGTAAAGTGCGAACTGCAGCTGTCGCGGCAATGTACTCTGCTTCGGCTGATGACAGGGCAACCAATTCCTGCTTCAGCGAGTTCTAGGAGATTGGGACTGTTGGCTCCACGCGGAAGACAAAGCCGGTTCGTGACCGTGAATTAGCAGGGTCAGCGGCGAGATCTGCGTCCACATAGCCAATGAGGTTGAAGGATGTTGTTGTCAATGTAGGGCGCGCTCCAGATCCAGCTGGTTCTCTGCTACTGGCTTGCGCGAGTACTGTGCCAGTTGGCTGGCGATGTACGGAAGGTCGGATCGGCAGGTGACAGAGGCGTCATGATCACACGTCTACGAACGACCTAGTAGGTGCAAAAGTCGGCTCCTATCTGCAGGTAAGTCGTTGTGCCATCCACGCTCATCGCACCATGCGGAGATAACTAACACAACGTGAGCTAGACTACTGGGAAGGCATGGTTGTAGGAGTGATCGTAGTGGTCCTTGCATGTTTCCTCGTGTTCTCTATACGCACAGATTCACGGAGAGAATTGGCAAGAGTTTCACTAGCAAAAGTTCACAACAATGGTAGCAAACATAGTTGGCAAGTAAGACTACATCAGATGCTAGCAAGCATGCAGATCCACTGCCAGTGCAGCACAATCGACCGCGTTCCAGCACTACACGGTCGACCGCGCTCCAGAAGTGCAAAGTCACGGTCTGCCAATGCTGCAAGTCGACAGGGTGCCAACGCTGCAGCGAGGAGGCTGCACAGCGTTGCACTCGCAGGACAGCAGCACACCCGCTTCGTAGGTGCTCACAATTGATTGGCGTGCTATGCCTCGTTGCCTGCACAGCGCAGACACCAAGTCGTACGCGTGCTGTTGACTGCACCTAATCAGCCACGTCGACCTTGGAATACCACCTCTGAGGTCGGCTTCGCCAGAACCACTTGGGCGACTGTCGCGCTCCTCCGCTTAACCCCGTTGCCCTGGTAACTTGGTCGACCGGGCAACAACGTCGACCAGCTGCTTCTCCTCGTGCCCGTCGACCTCCCAGGTCGATAACCACCATCCGCCGACTATCCCAAGTCAGCCACTCCCCTAGTCGACCACTTCTGGTCGACCAGAACTACTGGTCGCCGATTGCACCCAGCCGGCTTCTCCAGGTTGGCGTCACCAAGTTGACGCCCTCCCAGGTCGACCTCCCAAGTCAACCTCCCAAAGTCAGCGCCCTCCAAGTTGGCGCCCTGCCCAGGTCGTCGTCTCCCCTCGTCGACCACCGGGTTGAAGGCGGCGTCGCCCATTGCAGAATGTCAGCTGCACCTCCCGAACATCCGAACACAAAGTCGGCTCCGCCGAAGTAAGGACGGGGCCAACACCAAACTGGTTCATCCTGTCGAGAACAAGTGGTGGTGGCGGTAGCTGTCGTCCTGTAAATTGTTGGTTAAGGTCCTTGTAGGGCTTTAGTAGCTGAACATGGAAAGCATTGTGAAACTTCCACATGTAGGTAAGCGCAAGCAGAATGTTGCTGGTGTCATATGTGCCTTTACGCAAAAGGGACCACAGAATCGAGGCCGGAGCTTGGACGAAAGGTGAGATAAGTCCAAGTTGCTTGTGTCCAGAAGCACCTGATCTCCGACTGCTACTGAGTGATCTCGTCGCTGGCGATCGACATAGTGCTTCTGGGAGTTCTGCATCGTGGAAAGATGTTGCTGGGTCTTCTTCCATAGCTGCTGCATGGTGGCGACGAAGTCGTGTGCGGCTTGGACGTGTGCTGGGGTGGTTGGCTGCTGTGGTGTAAGTGGTTCCCGTCCGTAGCACAGGAAGAAAGGAGATTTCACTGTGGCCGCATGCGACACATTATTGTAAGCGAACTCAAGTGTCGTAACTCTGAATCCCAGTGGCTGTTGTCGTCATTGCAAGCGGTGCGCAGTAACTGTACAACCACCTGGTTAAATTGCTCTGTCTGTCCGTCATTCTGGGGGTGGTATGCTGAAGACATCGCAAGCTCTGTCCCCAACAATCCCATGAGTTCCCTCCAGAACTTACTAGTGAACTTAGGGTCTCTGTCTGAGATGAGCGTAGTGGGGATGCCATGGATGGTGATGATGCGGTTGAGGAAGAGTCGAGCAGTTGCTTCAGCTGTAGCCGTGGCGTTGGTCGGGATGAAATGTTACACTTTAGAGAGCTTATCGATCACGACGGGTATAGTGTCATTCCCTTGTGGGGTCGAAGGAAGCCCAGTGATGAAGTCTAGGCTAACGACCTGCCATGACTGCTCCGGTACGGGTAGAGGCTGAAGTAACCCTGCTTTTTTCTGCTTGCTACTCTTCATCCGCTGGCACGTGTCGCATGAAGTGACGAACTGCTGCACTTCTGCTGCCATACTGGGTGAGTAGTAATACTTTGCTATCCTTGCTAACGTCTTGTTGCTCCCGAAATGCCCCGCGTACTGTACGTCGTGAAACTCCTCCTGCAGAATCTGTCGGAGTGGGG